GAAAATCTTCAGGATTTTTGAAACTCGGTGTCATAACGTGGAGTAAACGCTTCCTCTACCCTGATTGCCGTCGGCATGGATCAGGTACGAGACAGCCCCTAACTGTACATTGCTGGTGTCCCATTGTAAGCGCGACTTATTTTCGCCGGAGCTCCTCGGGTACCTGTCACTTTTAATTATTTTACGGCCAGCACCAGTCGATGGCATTGAACGTTTCTTTACACCTGACGGCCAGCGTCTCTGCGAGACACGGTCATCTATTTTGACTTCGGATGTTTATTGCCCAGGGACTTACCCTTTTGTCCGCCATTTACTGTTTTACTGCCGAATCACCGTGCGAGAGTATTGTCTTTCTAATTAAAAAAATGTTCAAGGCACGAAAGGTTCGTCAAGACCTTTTGCGATCATCGAATTTCTTCCGTCCCATCCGCCAAAAATATGCCTTTTAGGGAGAACAAAAATTTGGTTAAAATTGGAAATCGATCGGAGAAAAGGAATCCGTGCCGCAATCGATTGCGGCAACAATTTTGAAAATTTTATATAGCGTAAGGATACTCTATTATAGGTCGTTCGATTCATCTTCTTTTTTTTGGGTATAAGAATATGGAAAAAGAAAATTATAATTACCTTACGAGAAATGCTAATGGCCTTGAAATTTGGAAAACATGATATCAAACAAAAAACTTATTCTTGCTAATTTATTTATTTCAATAAAAGTGTACCTTTCTTCTCAGAGGTTTTTCGATATACTTAACACTTTGGCTGCGGATGACGCACATGTGCGTCCAACTGAAAATATATAGTTGTTTTTATTATTTTTCAGTTTTCTTTTTTTTTGTTCGGCAATCATATTATATACAAAATAAGTTATCACAAATATATATTTTTTAAAATAATCATATTAGAACATTTGTAAGAAATTTTTCACTAAAAAAAATATAATTGCAGCCCCCAGCGAACGGCTATTTTCGTCCGCAGCGAAAGTGTTAATAACAACGGAGATATTTATATAGTTATACGCAAATTCGCCAGATATCAATTAAAGTTGCAAGATTATATAAATTATCTTACAGTGAGAAGCATGATTTTATTAAGAAAACATGTTTTATATGTACAAATATTTTAAATAATGATATTAGAATATATTTTTCATAAGTTAAATAACACGTTGGAAGTTAAATTTTTTACATAAAATGTGCTTAGTTTGTGAATTTTCGTGCTCCAAGAGCTTTCCATCATACTCGATGGTTGGAATCTTGTATAGTTCATTAAAAATTCGCAAACTAAGCACATTTTATGTAAAAAATATAACTGTCAACGTGTTATTTAACTTATGAAAAATATATTCTAATATCATTATTTAAAATGTTTTTACGTATAAAACATGTTTTCTTAATAAAATCATGCTTCTCACTGTAAGACAATTTATATAATCTTGCAACTTTAATTGATACCTGGTGAATTTCCGTATAACAATATAAATATCTCCGTTGTTATTAACTATATCGAAAAATGTCTGAGGAGAAAGTTACACTTTTATTGAAATAAATAAATTAGCAGGAATAAATTTTTTGCTTGATATCATGTTCTCCAAATTTCAAGGCCATTAGCATTTTTTGGAAGGTAATTATAATTTTTTTCGGTATCCTTATTCACAAAAAAAAAGATAAATACAACGACCTGTAATAGAATATCCTTACGATGCTCTATACAATTTTCAAAATTTTTTTCTCAGCAAAAGACATACTTGGGGGGGGGGGGGGGCCCTGTAGCATAAAAAAAATTTGCCCGAATGTAACTAAGATCCATCTTAATACACTGCGGCGCGTAACTATGGCACCATTGATATTTTTAGGATTGTTCGAACTTAAAAGAAAAATTCAAAGAAAGTAGTTGGATAATACGAAACAGCGATGTAAATAATTAAACGATCAAACGAACTTATCTGTACGTGAAGTTCGATCGTAATTATATGAATAGCCTCGTTCGAAGAGATTATGTATGTAGTATCCTTTTCGTCCGCTTTGAAGTCACAGCGTTTTAGAGTAAAACAACAACCTGCCGGTCCTCGCCGCGTCGCTAATGCGTGCGTTGCCGGCTTCGTTCATTTTTTAGAGTATGACTTTATTATATAGTTATTCTCCAGTCGGGTAGGAGATAATCTCTTCGAACGAGGCTATTCATATAATTACGATCGAACTTCACGTACAGGTAAGTTCGTTTGATCGCTTAGTTATATTTCATTCGCCTCGTTCTCGAGATTATGTATGTAGTTGTTTAGCGTTAACAATTTTTAATCATTTATTAACTTATTTAGTTATACATTGTTTTAACATATATTGCAATTTGTTAAACCAACTATCTAAGTATTTAGTATTGACCTCGCAAATTCTTGCCCTCATTTGTTATAGGGCTGTTATAAAACTTCGCAAATACCTTTGAATTTTCTGACCAATTTGCGGTTCGTCTAATTGTAGCTATATCTACGCCTCTGGCTAAGGCCGCAGAAGTAGACGGATGTCTGGTAGAGTGTGCAGAAAAAATAGTAACATCTACACCGCTTTCGCGCATAATCTCCTTGATCCATTTACTTATTGTTTGCGAACCTACTGCTTTAAATGGTCTTCTAAAAGATATGAATACCCTTTCCTCTTCTCCCCTAATTTCTTTGGTCTTCTCTAAATACTCTAACAGGACCGACTTTACACATAAATTAGGTTCTTTGGTATTGTTAGGTATAACTCTTAATTGGATCCGGAATTTTTATTTGTAACCCATTATTTGTACTTAGAATATTACTAACCTTAATGCTACATAACGTTTGTGCCCTATGTGCAATTATTAACGCGATTAATGTCACCGTTTTCTTAGATAGTATTTTTAAGTTAATGTTTTTAATAATTTTTAAGTAGTTTAGAACTAATGACACGTCCCAAGTAAGTGCATATTTTGGTTTCGTAGGTTTTATCTTAGCTACTCCTTTAAAAAATCTGCTGATCAATAGATCCTCCCCTACTTTATCCTGTGACAACAATGAGACAGCTGATCTGTATGTATTTAACGTTGAATATGATGCCCCTGCTTTATAATTTTTTGTTAAAAACCTTAACAAGGTTTCTCTTGTGGATTTATAAATTTCGTAATTTACCTTTATATAAAATAATTGCCATTTTGTCAGTCCCGATTCGTATTGTTTTTGGGTTGACTCTGTTAACGATAATAGGAGAATTTTCACCGCTTCTGGTGGTCCATTCATTTTTCTGAATGCTTCCCCGAGACTTTGCCTGCCAGTAAGAATAGCGACTTTGCTTTCGGATGGTGTTTCAGTCTACAAGGAGAGAACAGCAGGTTAATATTTTGTTTAAATTTCAAAGGTTCTCCTACTAGCAAAGATAAGAATGACGGGTACCAGGGTTGGCCCAATCTGGTACTACTGTAATTCCTGTTGCTCTTTCCGAATTTAAACTTTGTCCATGCTACTGATAATGCGTCTATTTTGAAAGCTTTTTTATCTGGCTTCCATGAAAAAAATCTATCGCATTTTGTGTTATATTTATTTGCAAATAAATCTATATCCGGTACCCCAAATTTTTCTACTATTTTATTAAAGGCTCTGTCTGCTACTTCCCATTCTGTATCCTCATTAGCAATTCTTGATAACCAGTCCGCGTCTCTGTTTTCTGACGAAGCTATGTACGATGCGTAAAAGAAAATGTGTCTTGCTTCCGCCCATTGCCAAATACTCTTTGCTAAGTTATTGTATTTTTCATATTTTACGCTACCCATTTTATTAATATACGAGATCGCTGATGTATTATCTACCCTGAGCAAAATTTGGCAATCTCTATCCCTATTGCATAACTTTTCTAATCCCAATTTGACAACTAACAATTTCCTATAATTTATAGAATATCTTTTTTGTTTCTCCGTCCACATGCCACGAACACTGTCAGTATTATCCGTTGCGCCCCATCCCTGTTTTCATCGGGCTCACTGCTATCTCTATCGCGTTATTCCACCATTGTAAGTCTGAGCTTATGCTACTTGGGACTTGCATTTTTTGATCGTAGTTATAATCATTATCTTTTAATGCTAATAATTTTTACGTTCCATAGTTTTCGTATATAACATTCCATACTCGAGAGCTGGGCAAGCCGATACTAACGATCCTATTAACCTTGCAAATTCTTTGATTTTGCAGCTTTTTACTTTAAGGAATCTTTTAATGATTTCTTTTACTTTTACTCGTTTCTCACTAGGAATTTCAATTGAGTATTCAACAGAATCTATGATAAAACCTAAGTATTTACATCTGGTCGCAGGCACTAACATACTTTTCTTTTCATTTATAATAAACCCGAGACTCGATAGCAATTTGACTGTTTCATTGATATCATGTAAGCATTCGTTATAATTTCTCCCAATACATAGAATATCGTCCAAATATATGACTATAAAAATTCCTTTCTTTCGTAAACTATTTACTACTGGTTTTAGTATTTTCGTGAATATCCAAGGAGCAGAGGACAATCCATTTGGCATAAACGTAAACTAAAACATTTTCCCTAAGAATTCGAATCGTGAGTATTTCCTGCTTGCCTTGTGTATTGGCAATGAACATCTTTAAGATCAATATTTCCCATAAAATATCTTGGAAAATTTCCATTTTAAAATGGTTTACCGCTACAAATCTTTTTAAATTCTTTAAGTTTAAAATAAATCAAAATGAGCCGTCTGATATCTCTCTAAGGAAATAGCTTGACAAGAATTGATTTTTTCGCGTTTTACAGCGTTCAATAACACCTTCCGCTAACAATGTATTAATAACCTTTTTATATTTATGTATTTCGTTTGCAGATCCAAATTTTGGTTTTGGCAGATGTTTTTGACTTACTTTGGAATCTAACCTGATTTTGTATTCGGCTATCGTTTCTAATACAAATTTGTTTGTTGTAATCTTTTCCCAATTACGCTTAAAATATTTAAGCTTACCAGCATTGTTACCTACGTTCATTTTTGTCCTTTGGGGTTCCTGGGTTTGAACGTTCCTTGACTCTGGACCCGTGGGTTGTATGGCTGTTGTTTGTTTTTGAAATAAAATCTGTTCCTGGCTTGACCTTACTGATTTCCATTCCCTGCAGTGGCGTATGCCGGTCTCCACGACTGCAGGTTTTGGTAGTTTAAATTTCCAGTTTGGAGAGGAATTCTTCTCATTGGTGAATGAGAACTTTGTATTTTTAAATTCTGTCCCTGTGGAGTGTTTAATCAGTATAATGTTTAACACGTTTTACACCGCATTGTGCAGGACTCTTAGATAGATCAACTTACCATCTTGTTCAAATTTTGAGCTTCTTTAATTCTTGCTCCTAAATTTGTACCAAATAGGAAACTGTCTGTCTCCGACTCCTTAAGAAGAGTCTTACATTGTTTCTCCACCATTGGGAGTATGAACGCCTTGTGAGATTGCGTTTCCTCAAATGTTATATGGTTTATTAGCTTTACAGCATCATTTATTTTTTCTACAAAACTAACTATATTGATACCGTCCTTCTCTTCCGCGATATCCCTTATTACCGAACCAAGCGCAGCCAGTGCTGATGTTGCTAACTGTTGTCTTTCAGCAAAGTGTTTATCTCTTGTAATAGATGATTCAGTCAGCATGATTGCAATCTCCGGATTTAATTTAGGTACAATCAGACCTTTAAGTCTGAGGTACTTTTTAGTTAATCTCTCTTTTTCTGTTTCTTTTAGTCCATTATTAAACCAGTGCTTCCATCTTTTTGCAATTGATGAATGCAATTTAATTTCAGCACTTTCCTCCTCAATCGGATCTTCTCCCAGAGCTTGTAAAATATTTTCGTCTAATGGACTTTCCTCTTCAACCAAATTCTCTTTATTTTCATCTTTCCCCTCCTCTGTAAAACAGAAGCAAAAACCCCAATGCAGTTTTCGGTATTGTATATCGTAGTATACTATTCTTGGAGAAGGCGAGCTGTATCCAAGAAAGTTGCAAACCCAAAGAAGAAACAAGCGAGCGTCGATTTCCAGCGTGCAGGACAAGACTAGCTTACTGCCTGCACGTGTATTCGCTCGGCGTTGCAATTTTTTTTTATATATACAGAATCAAATCAGCAGAATCATATCCGACTTAATGGAATATTTAGTACTTATTGTTTACTAATTTGTACCACAAACAATAATTTGGTCCTGTCAGCTTAAGGGAGTGTGTCATTAATTTATTATCCAAGGTGCTTATACGTATTCCAGAGTTTCGTATACGTATTTATTAACACAACTATAACGTTTTTTATAATAGTAACAACAATGATTGTTTCATTTGCATAAATTACATAATTTTTGTAATTACCCATTTGGTTGGAGTGAAAATGATTCTGTGTGGGATAGTTGACAATGTAAGTAAGTGATTAACGTTATTTAATGAAGAGATAATTATAAATAAAAATGTGAATAATGCGTCATATTCACAAATCCACGTGATGAGAATTTATTCGTATCCATATTTATGAATATGAATACCCCCATCTCTGGCATCTACCTACTATCCAGTAAAGGCATCTAACCAAAAGCTTGTACATATAACTCTCCTAGATTTCAAATCACAGACTCACAATGACAAAATCGACATTAATACATAGATCCTACTACATTATTACACAACTCGAGTATTATCAATGCTTTTGCAACATCGGTGACCATCTAGTACATGTCAGCGGCATTTTGAGGATGTTTACTAGATAGAAATAGCTTTGGCTCGAAACAGCTGGTCAGCAAAGTGTCAAACTATGCAAATAGTCCCTGACCTAGGTGCATAGAGTACAAGTCGGACGGAGAGACGAGTCGACATCAATCGTTGCTGAGACCTTTCCATCAAAGAGCTATATCCGTGCTTCGAACCCGAAAACTAAGAATCGAGAAGGCGTCGATCTTTGAAGGCCTCGCGATCGGTGCACTCGGAACACAAGTACATTACGGTGCATAACTATAGCACCGCTACAATTCTCGTGCGTTTTGTAGATTTAATTAATAATTTCTAATTTTTAATAGTATCATGTGAAAGAGGTTAAAAATATATTATAGTAATGATAAAACGGTGAACATATTTATTTAAGACAACTAATAATAATACTATAGATATTTCATGGGTGCATAACTACAGCACCAATGGAACTATAATATAAGAACAATATTGAATTATAATGTAATGATTAAATTATAATTTCAATGAATAAAAGGGAATAATTTAATAATGAGTAGAACCTCTTTTCTTCTCGATTAACTCAAAAATGCGACTTGGCATGCTCCCAACTAGTTTTTTCAAAATTTCATCGTTAATTTCGTTCCAGGATTTTAATACAGCTTCTTTTAATTGCGAAATGCTCGAAAATTGTTGGTTTTGTGCATATAAATACGCCGTACCATCATACACCATAAATTTTCTATGGAATTTTGATCCGGGGAGCACGCTGGCCACTTTACTAAATTTATATAAAATGTTTGAAGCCACCTTAGTGTTGCTCGACTTTTGTGTATTGGGGCATTATCTTGTTGATACATCCAAGTAACGTGCTTCTTCGAATGAATAAACGGCAACAAATTCTTCTCCAATATTTCAATGTATTCCAAACTATTCATTCTGGATGAAGGAAACGCTAATTCCAACTTGCCACTCGAGCAAAACGCAGCCCATACCATTAACGTTCCCCCTCCAAAATTGCGTTTAGAGAAATATTTTGGGTCTTTTCGTAGGTTTTACCAGTAACAATTGAACCCATCTGGGCCATCGAGATTAAACTTTTTCTCATCGGAAAGTATTACCTAACAAAGAACGTTAAATGGAAGAAAACAATGTCACCTCTTAATTTGTCGATTAATATTAAATTTACACGATCTCAGTTTTCATTTATATTTTCGCGGGCGTAATCCATTCTTGCTATTTTGTGGCGTTTAGAAAGAACGCGTGCTGAAATTAGTTTTCGTCTGGCAATGTTTGGATTCCTTCTAAAGACACATTGAATGATCCAACGTGTGACACTTCGAGTCTACATTCCGCTGCAATTTCCCGACAGCTTTTCAAACTATTGCTCCCAATTTGAATAATTTGCCTCTCAGCACGTGGGAACGGTTGCTTCTTAGGTTCTCCTTTTTTATTTTAGCCATATTTCGACGGATTAAGTAAAAAATTTGATATTACTTTAGAGGATCGCCCAAATTTACGTGCAATTTCCCTAATTCACAGTTCTAGCTTGTTATAAGCTAAAATTTCACCTTACTCTTTCACAGTAAGATATTTACCGCGTGTATTGTATTTATTAATAAATAAAACTCTGAATTAGGTGAAAATTATGTGACAAACACGCTTGAAGTGTGATGAAAATGAACGTGGTGCTATAGTTTTGCACCAATTCTATAATGTTTTTCGACTTTATCTCGATATATGCTTAGACTACTTCAGTATATTTCTTCTGAAATTAATTATTTACATTGCTTTTTCATATCATCCAACTACTTTCTTTGAATTTTTCTTTTAAGTTTAAAAAATCATAATAAATCAGTGGTACTATAATTATGCACCGCAGTGTATATTCTCCACAGTAAATTATAGTAACCATAATACTCACTAGGGGACTTTCTAAAGTTTGCATACGCTCTAGAACTTTAACGATACGTATCTCGAAAGACCTTTAAACATTTTGAGAATTCTGAACGTAATATCTAATTCCTTTGAATCTATAAAATAATGCGTCGTTGTACTTTTAGATGCTAGAATTACCAAACATTTGACCATTTTCTACCAGTCACCTTTTGTATATTTTTTTGTTATTATTACACCACGACACACCACGTGGAGTACCATTTCAGATATTCCCAAAATGTTTGTACTCTTCAGAACTTTAATGATGCGTATCTGAAAGTACCTTTAAACGTTTTGAGAATTGTAAATGTTACAGTTCATTTCTTGAAATCACAATATAACGTCTCGCTAAAATTTAAAATGCTGGAATTACCAAAAATTTGATCATTTTTTACGAACCTCTTTTCGTAAATCTTTTTCTTATTGCGACGCAGTGTAGCATCGAGCCTGCGACAATGCGGGAATTTGATTGTATCTCGATGAAACTTCTTCCTGCACGACGTCCGGCTGGTCATATCCGGATTTCAGTCCGGAAAAACTGGAACTCTCGTTGGTTTGCCAAGTGGGTTAGATTGGGTCGGGTGAGGTTAGGTAATTATATACCTTCGGTCAGTCGCGTGGGTACGACACTAAAATTACTCACGAATTTCCAACTAACGAGCACTACCTTTGGCGCCACGGAGGTATCTCGTTTATCTCCGACGACAGATTTTCCGAAACCGCGGCATCGTCGCGGGCCTTCCACTGCGACGCTCGGAATAAAGATATTTTTGCCTAACAGATCGCTTAGCAGCGGTGGCGCACCCAATAATTTTGCAGTTTCTCGATCCAACCGAAGGCACAATTCGATAAACATCTGTGAAACCTACACTGCGTATCAAAAGTATACGAACACTTGGATTTTGGAGATTTCAATATCTTAATTAATTAATTGCAGTATTTAGCTATTCGAATTTCTTTACTGTGTTGATGGTTGCCTACTTACAATGTTCAGTGTTTGGAAACAGACTTGGCTTTCAATATACCCAGTAACAGTGTGGAGGAATTATTGTCAGCTTAGATTGGCATATGATACTGTAGAAAATTCTTTTTTGAATTAAAGTCTGTTTCTAAATAGCCCGGTAGATAAAGTGTTAATCCGTTAGGCACCAGAAGTATATTTGGTATGCCTGACAGTTTAATTTCATTCTATATACGGATATATCAGTCAATATCGTGTATAGTAGAAACTGTGTATTCCGTGCTTCGTTTTTTTACAACAAGCGAACACATTTAAAATTCGTCTGTAAGTTGAACGGTACCGGAACGGAAATTTGGCAGTTAATGGGTTAAGGCAATTGGTCTTATGATTAGTGTAAACAACGAATAAACTATTGGGTCCTTCTAAAAGTTCGTGCCACTTCTACTTCTGCTACTCGAATTACTATGCGAAACATACTTTTAAGTGTTATAAAACAGTCACTCTCATTTTACAATATTTTCTCACCTCTCTGATATACAGTGGCTGTAGAAAGTATTCGTACACCGATCAATTTCCAAAACAACTGTATGAAATTGTAATTTATTAACTTTTTTTTTATAAACAATGATATTCTACATATTCTTGGAAATCTCTAGAATAGATACAGTACGAAAGGATTAGGTATTTTGTATAAGTGAGAAATCAACAAGAAGAAACAATAAATCGATAGAAATACAGAAGGAATAAGTATTCGTAAACATGTTAAATTTTTAAAACGTCATTTAAAAGAAAAACGAAATTTACAATAATTTATAAATAATTAATACTTCATGGGATGTCCTTTTGATTTTACAATTACTGCAACTCTTCTAGACATTAAATGAACTGTCATAAATGTCGATGTTATTCGGAGTGAGATCTTCTTTCATTCCTTTATTAGAGCATTTTTTAAGTATTTTTTACTGGAAATTTAACGTTCTCTTATTCCCACGAAGCAATAAATTGATGTGCTTATGTTAGAAATTCTACTGTAAATTGTTTGTCATAAGAACCGTGCGAATACTTATTGCTTCTATATTTCTACCGATTTTTCGTATTTTATCGTTAATTTCGCAAATTATATAAACTAGTAATTGTTGTTTGAACTCTATTCTAGAGATTTCCGAGAATATGTAGAATATCATTGATTATAAAAAAAGGAGTTAATAAACTACAATTTAACACAAAAGTTTTTTGGGAAATTGATCGATGTATGAATACATTCTACACTCACTGTAGTCATTATACCGTCACTATAAAATTTCTGTAGTTCTTTTAATTAAATATTGACACAGTTTTCAGCACGAACTTATGGGACGACCTAATACTTTCAAAATTTTATAAAAACGTGAACTCACCTTGGGTACATGGTCATGGACTGAATAGAGATTTTGTAACATTTCTGAATAAAAGTCGTTCTAACCACAATTTAAATACCTCTTTGACCAGAGTGAAATTCATCTCATACGGCGCTTGCGATTATGGAGCAGCATCGCAAGATTTAACCCTTTGAATCGCATTACATTAAGTGGTCCAACTTTGGAAAGGTGTTTCTTTTAGTATTACTAGACTTGGTTATACATTCTTTTAGCTTCCTTGAAGCGTTGACACCACTGCAAACGTAAAGCATCTTTCAAAAGAGGATTCAGAATTTTGTTTTTTAATATATTTAATATATCCTATGATGTATTGTATACATTGTAATGTATATGTTCAGTTGATATATTTTAAATAAAGTACACATGATTGTAATTCAACATAATTACATAAAAGTGTCCAGTACGCCACATTGACAGGCATATTGCATTATTAAAACAAAACCCTGAAGCCTCTTTTAGAAAACACTTTACTTACTGTTATTGTATACACGTGACGATACAACAGAAAAATATACGAAAGGTGACTGGTAGAAAATGGTCAAATTTTTGGTAATTCCAGCATTTAAAATTTTAGCGAAACGTTATATTGTAGATTTCAAGAAATGTGCTGTAACATTTACAATTTTCAAAAGGTTTAAAGGTACTTTCAGATACGTACCACTAAAGTTCTAAAAAGTACAAATGTTTTAGGAATATTTGAAATGGTTCTCCACGTGGCGATATAATAACAGAAAAATATACGAAAGGTGACTGGTAGAAAATGGTCAAATTTTTGGTAATTCCAGCATCTAAAAGTTCAGCGACTTCATACTCTTTCTACGTAACGCTTGCTTATAAATTTTGTTTCTAAATCTTTCTCTATATATACCATATTTTGGCTTGCTTTCTCGTACAATTTCAATAAGAAAACTTTAAGGAAACATGCATTTTCTAAACATTTGCTCTACCATAAAATTATTCTATATAATCACTAACAAAATTTGCTAGACTTGCGATGTCTCCTCATATTGGACATCCAAGTGCAAAGGGTTAAATCATATTGTTTGGCAGTGTTCAGAGTTTCACGTAGAGCGTGAAACATTTGTCGAATTGCTTCTCAGATCTAATTATCGTTAACCAAGTTGTATTCATTCATTTTTGAGTCGTCCCGACATTAAAGGGTCAAAAATGATCTATAATTTCTTAAAAATATGTAATATAAGAATTGTGTGAAAACATGTAATTGTACAACATTTAACTAATGTCATTCTTGTAATTATTATATGCTGTATAAGCCACGTGTGGTTTAAAGCAATAAACTAACTAAATAAAAGAAATGGAGCTGAAACTGTAAACTACGTTTTGCTATGCAACTATTGTAATAATAGAGATAGTGGGTTGATACGTGGAATGAAGGTTTCTTTTTGAGTTATCCAACGATTAATATGTATCAAGTTTACTTGGTTTGGAGCCATTATTCCCCTGCTCATTCGATTTATTTATTTATTTATTTAACCAAACTACTTGTAAGTTTTTGTTTTGTTTCTGTTAAAAGTAATCAAAATCATTGAGTTTTATCAAATGTTTGTTTGCCATGAAATTTTTTTATTCGCAAGTAAAATTACAAAGTCTGTAAAGTATTCATTAAAACAAAAATAATTTATTATTGACAGTATTAAAAAATTAAAGAAAGGTCTACACGAGTTAGGTTTACAAATTAAAAGATAGGAATTTATTTAAATTAAATATAATTTTTATGAACTACTTGTAAAATGTAGCAGAAAAATACTAATTTGATCCCACTTTAGAGAGTCTATCATACGATCATTTTTTAAGAAGGTTCTCGGGAAGGTGGTGTTTAAGAAACACTGCTCTAAAATACATACTTTTCTCTATTGATCTATCGCATCGAAAAATTCTGTAGTCCACAAGTCCAAGTTCATTAATCGCTATCATTGCTATCGTATTATGACATCATATGTCATCAATGAGGAGACAAAGTAGCTCGTATCTAAGTCGATCAATTATCCAGAAGACCTGACGGGTATTTTGATAAAAAATTATTCGAATGAATGAAATATTCAATTTCGTTATTGAGATTTCAATTTTCATTACGAATCGTTGGTGACTATAAAGTTCTTTATAGTTTAATATTATTGTAATTAACTATTAACTTGGTATTTATATACTGGTGTTTATTTAAAGCTGTTAAGACTTGTTAATTAACAAAAATAATGTTATCCCATATTATTGTATAATTTTGTCTCTTGAGACAGAATTTGAAATTAAACAGTTCCATATAATCTTTAACATTTATATTTGTGCAACACGTCTCTTATGAAATTAACCGTCGTTGCTCTCGCGTTATTATCAATGCTTGATTATACCATTCTCTAGATTCTAGATGAACAAACAGAATAAGTATTTATTATTTCTACTTCTCTCTGTATCAATTAATTCGTGGATGTATAAGTAACGAAGAGATGATTTCTATTTCCTTTTTTAATACCTTAAAATATTGTGGAAAATTGCATTTTAAAAAACATTCTTTTAAATTAACATATTTTTGAGAAATAAAGATAATGTCATGGTCCTTTTTACATTCAATTGTAAAATGTATGATATGTATCCAAAAAAGAAGTAGAAAACTTTCGATAAATTAAACTTTGTAGTCCATAACGACCCAATTTTTTTTGGTAAGAATTTTCACTGTTGCTAAACGTTTTCATATTTTTGAAGAATCAAAAATAGTTATTTTTAATAACATACAAAATGTTAATGTTTTTAAATAAAATAACAAATGGAAAGCTCAGAATATGTTCTTCTGATATAAATAAAGCTGTAACATTCTCACTATACTTTTTTATTGTATTCATCTTGATCTATTTGTTCTTGTACTAGACACGGTGCAATTCTTTCCTTTTTCTTTGAATAGTATTCCGAAAAAAATGTTTAGAATCAAAAAATCTTTTTTCATTTCTTTACAAAAACATTCAGCAATATTTTAAACGAGAACCAAAAGATAAAAATATTACTTCAAGATTTCTGTTAAGAATCTTTCTTCAGAGACTTTTTGTAGTTGCATCTCAGATATTGACGAAATTTGGATATTTTGTAGTCTTTAATGTAGTGTGTTTTATGTGTTTT